GGGGACACATCGTGCCCTGAGGTCTCGAGTGGGAAATGGGGGAAGGGTGCCAGTCTTTCCACCACCTCACTCCCCAGCTTAGGGCCCAGGGTCTAAGGGGCATAAGGGCCGGACCTGGGGGACCCCCCTCCCCAATCAGAGCATCCTCTTCTTGAGGAATTGAGATAGGGAGAGACAGAGAGAGGCAGAGGGACAAAGGCAGAAGGTCAGAGAGAGTCACAGAGAGCCAGGTGCCCTGCTGTGATGCCAGGAGGCTGGCCCTGTTGGCAGGCTTGGGAAACAGCAAGCAGCTACTTGTGTGAGCAGAAGAATTAACGTGGGGACTCCAGCACAGCGCGGGGGCGGGGGGGGGGTCCCAGAAGACATGCCATGGGTGGCCGGGCACCCCTAACCCCCAACCCCCAGGAGGCTGAGCAGGAGGAAGACAAGTTGGGCAAGGGCCCCATTACTTCTTGGAGCTGGTTCTGTTCCTAATTCAAGCTTTCTCTGCAGCCTGTCTTGTTGATTTTCTAAATGGGAGAGAGACGAAGCCAGCAGGGAGCGTGTAATGTTTGCACGCGGCAGAGCGGTGCCTGTTTTTAGAAGGGCTTTGTTAGGAGCTGCTGACGAATGAATGAAGCCCTGTGTCTGGTATCGTGAGTGAGCCCCAGCCCTGGAGTGGGGTCTCTGAGAAAAAGAACAGCATGTGGCCGGGGTGCCCCAGAAGGGCTCTTGGAGTTGACATGTACTTGCCTGGAGAGCTCCCTTCTCTGAATGCTGTCCTGACTCCCTCATTACCCATCCATCCACCCATCCATCCATCCTCTTCTCCCTGAGCATCTTCTGTGCTGGAGCCTTTGGGGGCATCTGTGCCTCCTCCTGTCTCATGAAAGCCTGTTATTACAGCATCATGATGCTGAGAAGTCTATTGTGTTCAAATACATGGCCAAGAGGAAGCTATCCGAGGAGCTGTGGGCTTCTCTGCTTCCCCCACGCCTGTCCGCAGCTCCACACACGGCAGCTCCACGCACAACAGCTCCAGACATGCGAGCCACTCTGCAGCTTCTATTGAGTGGACAGCACATGATGAGGACCTGGATGATGGTGGCAGGAAAGGCTGCGAAGTGCATCCTGCCCTGGAAGCGTGCTCCTGGGGGAGACCCCCCAAAGTCACACATGCATACACATGCACCCCCCCACACACACACAGCTGTGTCCACACACCTTACTATGCACCCTGTTGCCTATCTCAGACACCCACATCTCCAGCCCCGAGAGGGGCACCCATCGAGGCAGACACGGAGGGGGCTAGTGCAGAAGCCACTGAGGGGACAGGCAGGAGCGTGGGATTGCAGTCCCCCCGAGCCTCCGAGCTGATCCCTCTCCATCTGTCGCGTGAGGATGAACAGTCTGTAAGTCGGCACACACACACCGAGCTCCCGGTGAGGTGGGCGCAGGCTCCGGAAATGAGTGAGGCTCTAGCTGGAAATCGGTTGCATTCGTGGCCATTCGCTGCAGACAAATGACCCCACAACTTGGCTGCTTGAAACAATTGTTACCTCGAAGTTTCTGTGGCCGGGAACGTGGTTCACCGTAGCTGGCCTCTGGCTGAGGGGCTCTGACAGATGCAGTCCGGCTGTCAGTCAGGGCAGCTGTCATCTCAAGGCTGAGCCGGGATCGGAGAATCCACTGCCAAGCTCACCCGTGAGGCGGAGGGCAGGAAGCGGAGGACCTTGCTGGGTGCTGGGTGGAGGCTGCATTCCCTGCCACAGGGGCCTCTGCCTTGGCTAAGTGTCCTCGTGGCATGGCAACAGGTGACCTCACTGAGCGAGAAAGCCCAAGACAAGCCTTTTCTAACCTTTCACGACTGTTTTATAACCTGACCTACGAAGTGTCGCGCCATCACTTCTGCCGTGCATCCTGTCACCCAGACCAGCCCTGGTACAAGGCGGACTACACCAGGGTGTGGATGCCAGGAGGTGGGGACCTCTGGGGCCCTGATGGAGCTGCCACCACCGTCAAGTCTCAGTAGAAAGCGCTATTGCCATTCTCGTGGCTGTGGGCCACTGTGCAGTCAGTTGGGCTGCCAGCATCAAGGTCCCGTTCCCACCCCAGGCTCTCCCCAGCGCCGTGCAGGTGTGTGCGGTCAGGGAACAGGTGTCTGGAGGGGCGTCCGGTGCCTGAAGAAATGGACTGAGATGGGCGTGTGGGCTGAGGCCGTGGGGGAAGCGCAGCAGAGGTCTGGCCTGTTCCCAACTCATGCAGCATGTGGTCCGCCCCCATGGCCCTCTCTGTGAGGAAGTCTGAGGAGTCTGGTGGGCGTGGCTCCACCGCCTGTTCTTCATGCACCCAGACCAGCCTCGTTCCACACCTTCTGGAAAGTGTGGTTTGGGCCAGGCTCAGAGAGGGGCCGCAGGGCGGGGAGGCCAGGAAGGAGAGGCTGCCGGGTGGGCATGCGGTGGCCCCAGCCTGCCAGCCCCTCTCCCCTCTCTCTCTCCCTCTGCTCTCAGGTGTTCCCTTGCTGTTTGTCATCCCCTGGGGCATTGTCAAGTACCTCTATGAGGACGAGGGGTGAGTGCCTGCTCCTCAGGGTGAGTGTGCTGATGTCCCTGTCCCCAAACCCCATGTGGTTCCTTGGCCCCTGGGGCCTGCGGCTGGGACCTGTTGGGAGGATAAACAGAGGGACCAGAACTGAATTTATGACTAGTTCTCTCCTGCCCTGTCCACCCTCCGTGGGATTGTATGAAGATGAATGGTGCGGGGCTTGCGGGGAGCGTGGTGCCCCCTCCAGGTTCTTCTGTGAGAACTGAATGAAGTGTTGCTTTGTGTATGGCGCTGGGTACACACATGCCTGTGTTCACGGGCTCACGTACCTCTGTGTGTTTGTTGCTGTGTGTGTGTGGCTGGAAGGCCTTTGTGTGGGTCTGTGGGGTGGTGGTTAGGTAGCTCCCGGTGGCAGTGCCTGTGTGGCTCTGTGCGTATCCCTTTGATGCCCACATGTACTTCTGTGTCCTGTGCCTGCACTGTGCTGGGGTCTGGGCCCCATTGGGTGCCTGTGTGTGTCTCCCCTCTCCAGCTGCTGGACCAGGAACTCAAACATGAACTACTGGCTCATTATCCGGCTGCCCATTCTCTTCGCCATTGGGGTGAGTGGCGGTGTGGGGGTGGCCCGGGGGGTGCTGGGGAGGACAGGGGAAGCGTGTCGTGACAAAGCCTCTGGCCACCCTCCTGTCTGCCCTGCAGGTGAACTTCCTCATCTTTGTCCGGGTCATCTGCATCGTGGTGTCCAAGCTGAAAGCCAACCTCATGTGCAAGACGGACATCAAGTGCAGGTGCGTGACCGCCGGCTCTGCCGGGCACCCTCAGCCTTCCTTCCCGCAGAGACGGATCCCGGGTGCCCAGCTTAAGGCTGCAGGACCTTCTCCCACCTGGGCCTCACCTGGGACCCACGCCTTGCCCTCCTCCCTATATCTGTGCAGCTCCTGGGCTCTGGGGGGCTCGGCCGCTACCTCCCTCCCTCCAAGCAGCCTGTCCCAGGGTATTGGGGTGGGAGGGTGGCAGACCCAGATGCCAGGCCTCGGTGGGGGTTTGGGGCACAGAAAGGGAGAAGAGTTCATGGGAGAGGCCCAGAATGACATCACCCCCCACTCCCCCCAGACTTGCCAAGTCCACATTGACGCTCATCCCCCTGCTGGGTACCCATGAGGTCATCTTTGCCTTCGTGATGGACGAGCACGCCCGGGGGACCCTGCGCTTTGTCAAGATGCTCACAGAGCTCTCCTTCACCTCCTTCCAGGTGAGCATGGCGGGGGGCCCTTCCCTGCGACCTCCTAGAGTGAGGGTGGGGCAGAGCCAGCCGGCAGCAGGCAGATAGGCAGCGAGGCCTGGAGGAAAGTGGTCCTTGCCCAGACTTTGTGGTTGGAGCCGAGCCTGAGCTGGAATCCCCAGGTGCCCCGATGCCCAGGCCAGTCTTTAGAAAGCACATTGACACGAAGCCTTTCCAGATGTAGCCGTGGGCACCCAGCCACGAATTGGTCTTCTCCACTAGTATTAGCAGATGCTGCTTCGGGGGAGCGAGTGTCAGTGGGGGGCGTAGGAACATAAGAAACTGGTCCCAGCCTCTCAGGAAGGTCATGGGATGGCCAACAGCATGCGGGCCTGTGTGTGCACTTGCACACACACTCACATGCACACACTCACACATGCATGCACACATAGAGACACACACATGCACATATAGTCACAGCCACATGCAGACACACTTGTACACATACTCACATGCACACACAGACATGTAGACACATGCACATATGTGCATGCATACTCACATGCACACAGAGACACACGCATGCGCATGTGTACTCGCTCACTTACACACACTCACAGGTACATGCACACAGAGAGAGGCACATGCAGACACACACACATGTACTCTCACACAGTCACAGTCACACAAAAACACACATGCACACACACAGATGCACACATGAGCACACATACTCACACACACAGATCGGAGTTCTGGAGCACGTGTCTCCTGAGTGAAGGGGCTGGGCCGGAGAAATCCGCACAGCCAGAGGTTCCTCCTTTCTGGGCCCATTGTCCTCTAAGGAAGACGGAAGGGCTCCTGGAGCACCTGGGCGAGAGGACTTCTTGTCCCTGCAGAAAGGAGAGGAGAGGAGCCCCCCAGCTCTGGGCTTCCCAGTCTGAGCAGGGAAGGCTGTGGCTAGAGGCCCATGGATCTGGGGACCAGGGCCATCTGCAGGATGCTGGCCTCCCGTCCCCGCCCCCTCCGTCTCCCCCTTCTCTTGCCTCCTCCCCCCTCCTCCCTGCTGAAGCACCTCTCGTTTCCAGGGGCTGATGGTGGCTATCTTGTACTGCTTTGTCAACAACGAGGTAAGGCCTGAGGTGGGGTGTGGGCACCCTGCTAGGTTGCCACCCTCGGTGTTCTGGAGCTGTTCAGTGGGGACCCCCATAGTCTTCTAGCTCAGACCCCTACTTAGCAAACCCAGTTTTCTGTGTG